CAAACAATATAACAAGAAAACTGCATTCAATACGTACTTTATATATACCAATGTTTTTTTTTAAACAACTAAATAGAACACGTTTACTACAACGTAAGTCAATGATAACGATATACATTTTTCAAAAAAGGCTTTAATTATTTGGTAAAAAAAATAATTCTGAAATAAAGTCAGTGTCCCCGCCGTTCGACCCAAGCAAAATGAACCGTATTAATAGCGGGAAAAGGAAAGCTGATGTAATATGGACTCTCAAATGTTTATTTAACCATTATTTTTATCTGAAAAACGAACGAACTTAGAATTTGCTGTTTGTGTCTTTCTTTCTTCCGAAGGCAGTATGGGTCACCTAGGAAAGCACATTTCCCGAATTGGTTCTACCGGGACTTTCTTATTCAGCGCTCACGTCTGTCTTCTACATCGAATGAAACTGGTTCCCTTTTTATATGTCCATGACAATACGTCAGACAAGGCAGCTGCTAGCCCTTTGGGCACCCAGTACTAAAGACGAACAGGTACGAGGTAAAGTCTATAATTTCATGTTAGCCTAGTACCGCGTAGCAATAAAGTCTAGACTTGAGCGCGCGCTGTGCCTACAATTTCTAGATTTCTTGAGTGGGGATGACCTAGGTTTACAGAGCAGATAAGTTTATAGCTAGTATCGGTATATTATGTTCTGTTATAAACAAGTTTCGATATTATGAAGATATTTATTTTCTTTAATAGATATCCTTGCTGATTCATATTTCGTTTCTTTAAATTTTTGACTAAAGATGACAAAAAGTGCTAAAATTACATATTCTCAAAAAGTATGTCTAAAAAAGTGTTCAGTATGAAAATTCACTGTTGTCCACTTCTCTAAACCTTTAAATCTACCTATTAATAATAAAAATACATCTACTGTTTACTTAAAAAAAGGCGGTAAAATAAACTAAAGTGCTTTGGTATTCTTTTCTGCTTTTTCGTCTTTTATGTATTTTCGTCGAAAACTTAGTTTTAACGGAAATACAGTAATTGTTTGTGCTCCGCCTAATTTAAACAGGAGGTAATATTAGCCATGGAGAACTTGTTGCTGATTTTGAGCAAAGCAAGATCCATGAAATCTTATGAAAATCTGAAGAACCACATGAATCACATCATCAGAAGTTCAACAGACTGATATAGACTACTTATGTGCCTGGAAAAATAACAACATATTCTTTTAGCAAATTGTCCTAACATGTCAAAAATTACTTTTAATGTTTTTTATTAGTAAACATCTTCTTCTCTTTGAAATTTTAGTATATCCTCACATTGTTTGAGAAAAGCAATACTCTATTGCATACCATAATGTTATATACAAGGTGGTAGGTAACATAAATTAAGTTCATTATGGACCCCGTAAGGGCTCAGAAAATGACAAAAATCTGATTAAATTAAAAGTAATTCTAACAATATTTTGTTTATTAAAGCCTTAAGATTATAACAGGTATATCTTGCTCATAGTGCATTTGTTGATTTTTTTTTATTATGATTATGGTTGGTAATTTGTTATACATTTTAATTGACATTACAAACGGACTTGATGAATGCAATGTTAATCGCAAGCACTATACAAGCCTCGGCGGGAACGGGGTTTGCTTGCCTCGTATTAACTCATACCCGTCCAGCAATCCCTTACTTCCCGGTCTCTGCAGTAATGTACTAATAAAACACGAAAAATCTCTGGGCAAACGATTTAGTTTGTTTAAATGGCAGAGATCGAGGGGTACTGCCACAGCGCCCGTCATCCTAAGACATAAGTTGACAAGTCGCATATGCCTGTAATTTCACTAACGCCTTGGCGGCAGAAATAGGTAAGGTGGCAGTACTTCCCTGGACGAACTCTTCACAAGGAGCTTTACTGCTGCTAAAAAAATAATTATCATGAACTGATCATATTTTATGATGCGACCCGAGAGATAAGGAGTACCGGGGAGACTACGAAATCTCTGGTAAGACCAGGGTACGGCGGGCGTCCGGGCTGAGCCCTCTGCAAGTGATACGCCTTCTTGAGCGTCTCTTGCGGACTCGGACTTGGGTATGGTGGACTCGCCGGGGGTCAACTGCCGCCAGTTGCCATTTAAGTCGGGAACTACATATATCCGGACATTGTCGCAAGACACTGCTACCGGCATCTCCGGCACTAGCCCGGAGAGCTAGTAGAGGATGAACTAGACATCCTCCTGTCCCTCCAGCCGTGGGTGACGGGAAGTGAGCGTGCCTTACAGCAGCGCCATCAATGAGGAGATTTCGTCTTATCGGCTTAAGAGCCGATGGCTCAGCGGTGGCAACCGTTAATTGCGCAGAGCGCGACGGGAATTAAACATGCTTACTCCGGTAGCCATCTGGAAATAGGGAGGGTGCTGTACGTATATACGGGGAGGCTCACCTAAGGCACTAGCCTTACAGGGAATCAGATTAAGTCCGTGCAAACAGGCTGATCTGGGGTTAGGATCTAACTTAGATGGTCCCTGTGCGGAAGTAGGGACATGAAAAACATTTCATATAAAAACTTGACCCTTTGAAGTCGGTTAATAAAAAGATACTAGAAGTTGACTTATCACAAGTCTATGCAGTCTGTGCAAACCTGTTTTGAAATACAGTGCGGCACACGATGCAGTTAATGCTCTTTAACATTTATTTACTCCTGGTACTTCGTCTAGTCTATTCTTAGACTAAAATCAAGGATATTTCCTAGGTTTCCTAGATTTTAGTTAGGTTTTAATTTGATACCAGGTTCAATCAACTCTTAGAACTAAATTTGTTAATTCTGAACTTGAAAGATATATTCAGTTAGTGTATTTAATATTTGTTTAATGGATGGGACACGAAATAAGTTCCATGTTAAAATTCCATGACAAAAATCAAATCCAGCACGAGCGGTTTCTAAGTCCTACTGTAATATGACAACTCTAGCGTAAGGCTAGAAAGTTAGACCATGCCTTATAGCCCACAAATCTAACATTAGCTAAGTCTGTAACACCTCTACCGCATTCATGCTAACCTAGTACTCCTAGATAAATGTTAGACGTCTCTGGATTAGAAGTAGGATTTTAGGGTTCAGTAAACTCGAATATTTTACTGATACTGATACTAATAAAGGGGTCCCAAGTTCGATTCCCGGCGACGGGCCTGCAACACTTAAATTTTTCGATTAATGCGATGTTTAGTTTGACGATAAAATCTGCATATAGCACCCTTGGTATAGATAGATAGATAGATAAAAACTATATTCAAATTAACTAAATTATAGATAAAACTAACACCATAATTATTATTTAAAAATAACATTTTTTTATAAGAAAAGGAACGTATAACTTACACATATAACTAATTAAAGTTAATAGTTAATAGTTTCGGAAGTCATGGCAGTGAAAAGGAGCTAGCTCAATAAATGCCGCAGTTTCCCAAGACGCTTGTATTCTGCCAGAACTACATTATAGAAAAAAATGGGTTATGTAAGATCGGGTGCCGATGTCGCCACTTTTTAGCTTGTGTGCAATTCAAACTTTACGCTCTATTATCTACTACCATAACTTAAAGATTTTGATTGGGTAGGGCATAAAACGTGAAAACAACGTAACACAATTTTAGTGACAAGGAAAATTGTTCATAACGTCATAAAAAAGGAATTTTGATATGTTAACTATATTTATAAAAAATATGACATAATTATGTAATTTAATAAAATGACAAATGTTATGACTATTATTATATAATTCTAGAATAATTTGACGATTTTTTTTTTAAATAGATTAGATTTAATTATCATTATAATGATATTTTAATGAATGGTAATCAAAATGTGTATTTAAAAAATTGACATTGCTACGCCCTTACAGGCTACATGTTTGATACTGTAAACTACTATAAGAACTATTATGTAACAACATGTTTTGCAATAAACGTAACGTTATTAATATTATTATTATTACCCAGCAGCGAGGAACCGATTAAGAAGAAGGTGCAGTGCAGATAATTCTTCTATTGTTTGAGACTAGGTGTAGTTATCACATTAGAGTTCTGTAGTTATGATTTAAGACCAAAGTAATTATCAGACTTAATTAAAAAGCGGCAGAAATGTCGCAAAGAAACCGGTTTTCAAACAAAGAAGATATAAAATGCGAACAACGATCTTGCATGTGACAAGACGTCAGCAAACGCGGTAAAGCAATTATCGCAATAATCAGACGGAGATGAGACATCTTCTGATCTGTTTCTCTAGTTAACATTCTTGTATGCGAATACATATTTATGAGGTTTGTTTTGTTGTGATTTCGAAGTAGAAATCTCTGGTTTTTTTAAAGTTTATTTTATTTATTTAGTAATTTATTGTACAGGATTCACACATTTAATAAAAGAAAAACACAAACAAAATGTTCTCTTGTTTATGAAAAAATTTTCTACCTGCAAGACGTAAATACAGTATGTTACGCTATAACTTTTAAATTTGAAGAATATATTCCACCTCTAAGGATGGCATACTAGGGGATGAATCTGGTTTCGCGCACTTCCCGGTAACCGATTTCAATAAAACTTGGCAAACAGATGTAATTAAACGAACTTCTGAGGTCGGTTTTTATTTTTATAAAAAAGTTATAATTGTGAAATTACTCCACTGGTATTCTATAATTATTAATATAAAGACCAAACACTTAGAAAAAATTCCTTCGATCCGGCCGGATTCGAACCGACGTCTTCTAGCAAAGCGTGACAGACGCTATGCCAACTAAGCCACGGAAAAACCAGCGGAACCTACGAATTTTTCTATGTGCTTGTTGTAGATCTTTGTTTCGGTTTTTAAACGACTTTTTGCAGAAGCGCCATCTGTGATTTTTTTATTGTAAATACACTTTCCCGTTTTCAAAGTACAGTATAGGAAGAGGGTAATTTTCAGATTAGTTCTCTCTAGTTAATTTCCCTAATGAAATTAGGAGGTATTTTTAATTTCAATGGCCTCTCAGCTTCCTGGATAGATAACGGATATCTTTTGCAAGGACGTGAACTAAATTGAATGTGTAGGTTTATCCAGGACAGAATATACGCTATTTAGATCCCAAAAAACCAAAAACTGGATAAATAGGCTTATCTATTGCCCCCATTATCTACCTGTTTGGTTCATGACGTACCATTTCCCGAAAGTGCAAATACGCCAGTGTCTAATTCTCCGCATGTCCATTACAGAAATAAACACCTTTTTTACGTCTTAAAAAAAAATAGGTTTTTTAATTCGACTGTCTTTATTTTTTTTTGTTGGAAAGTGGATACCTCAGTAGTGGTCTCATTTAAATTTTAAGAAAATATTCCACCCCTAAGGGTGGCAAACTAGGGGATGAATCGGGCTTCGTGCACTTTCCGGTAACCGATTTCTGTTACTGTAACGTAATTTTTTAATTTTTTTTTTCATCACACTTGCACGTAAACAGTATCATTGCATGCAGGCTAACTTAATTTTAATGCCCCAAATAAAACACTCGGGCTTTTTTATTAGCCCAAGCCTAGCCTACATGCAATCATACTATTTACGTGCAAGCGTGATGAAGAACATTGTATGTGACTTACGAATCTCCACTCCGAACAACTCCGGGTTTCTAATAGTCTCGTCCGTAATTCCTCATTTACCGCCCTTAATGCACAACAACTTAATGTACTAATTTTATTTATTTCCCTCAAAGCCCTCTTGGGTAATATTCAGGTGAGTTTTCTGTAATTCCGGTGTCAGTCTCAAGTTCTTAGGTACTAGGCAAACAGAAACCACAAGGAGACTCACCTTCCTTTGACGCTGGAGGCCCGTGAGTGCCTTACTGAGGAGTCCCGGCTCTCGCGTTGCGCCTCCCTTAGCAATCTGATATACTCGTTCTCGACGGCGGCGAGGCCGTTGCCGGAGTTCAGTTCGACCCATGATTCTGGAACAAATTTACAGAAATAAGAACAGTTATTATAAAACACGAAGAACAACTAACAACTCTTTCTGTGTGTACGGTTATAATTAAATATTTAAGTAACATTTTTAAAACACATGGGACTTGGTAATTTATGTCTGTGACGGGCGCAGTGGCGTGTCCCTTACTACCAGTCACAGGTTTTATTGGTCCTGTCACTTTGTATTATAAATAATAATTCTAACTTTTTCATAGAAAAAAACCGACTTCAAAAGTTTGTATATTTTATACTTTTTTCTGGTTGTCATAGTGACGGTGATTTCTGTTTACATGTACAGTGTCAAGTGCAACGTCGACTTTTTTATTTGCGGAACATAATTAGTGATTTGTGATAGCCGAAACGAACCCATAACAGGGGGTCTACTCTCAATCTCCGTCCGAAACAATTGCTGCCAAATAAGCAATACTTGACCAAATGAAAAGACGCGTGATGCGAATGAAGCTTCATACTTGATACTTGTCTTTTAATTTTCTCGAATATTACTTATTTGACAGTAATTGTTTCGGACGGAGATAGAGAGTAGACCCCCAGCTTCGTCGTCATCAGGGAACACCTCGAGTGTATTCCCTTTCAAACAAAAAATGAATTTTCAAAATCGGTTCACAATTGATGGAGAAATCGGTGCATACACTGACATGGCAAAAATTTCGAGGATTTTCTTCGTTTTCCATGGGATCCCGTAATCAGATTCGACTTGGTGACAATGGGACTACCATAAGAGTGCATCCTTTCAAACAAAAAAAGAATTTTCAAAATCGGTCCACAATTGACGGAGAAATCGGAAAACATAAAGCCAAACGTATAACCTCCTCCTTTTTATTGAAGTTGTTTAATAAAAAGTACACCTTGCCCCTTAAATGAATTTATTTATTTAGGACAACTAACAAGTTGTACTCTTGATACGTACAATTATGATTATACAATTCAAATGGAGCAATGCTAAAGTGTTGACTCAATTAAAGGTTGTCACCACATGCAACAGTCAAACACAGTTAATTATTTTGACTCATCCGAAGAACAGAGTCCGATGTGATTACATAGCGAAAAGAGTATAAGTACGTTACGAGAATAATTTCGTTATTCAAACTAAGGCCTATGTAAAGGTGTTTTGAGACTTTATATATCATATTTCGTTTCGGAAATGTAAAATCGAACAACAGTCGATCTGACATCCAAAGCAAAGAACGAAATGTACTATGTCCTGAGAACCAGTAGTCTTGCACATAGATCTTTGTTCTAAGTATGAGTCGATTTATTTCTGAGAAGACGACTGTCACGAACAGCCAGTTTATTATTATTCCTCGTTAGTTATGATATGACTAGGAGGGCAGTATTAAACTCTAGTTAATCAATGAGACTGTTAAATTTAACAATATCGGATGGTACGGATGATTCGAGGAGCATCCGCGAATTTATTTCAGTTACTCTGGTGCACAAAGTACAAGAAATTCCCCAAGTGTCAGATAATTGATATTATTAGTTGTCTAGTATTTTCATTATTTTTTTTGGATGGTCCGTTAAACATCTAATCCGTAGTTTCATACGTATTCATGTAGCAATCACAGTTTGACCTCTCATACTTTTTCTCATACATCCAAACACGCTCATTCGCTCGTAAAGCTCATCGTCTAATCTTACACAGGTCGCACACTCACGCAAAAATGTACACACTCACACGTACACAAGCCCGCACTCATCTAATGCACACTCACACACATCACACGCACTCACAAATACGTCACACGCCCTCTCGCATATTTTTATTTTGTTATTTTTTTATTTTCTCTTTTCTTTTTTGTTATTCGGGAAGTGACCTTAAACAGAGGGTATCCTAGTTTGGGCTCAAGCTTCTACAAATTTTCCTATATACACTACTATTATTTCATTTAAATTGTTACAAATTTGTGGAGGAAATGAAAAATTTACTTACTTACTCTAGTACATTTATTATTATTCCTCTCTACGTTAATTCTGCGCATAAGTTGTTTGCAAACAACTGCCGCCATTGTTATATAATGACGTGACGCACTGGGTGCAATTGTATTAAATTAATTACACGCCAGATCTGTACTGTGATAAATAAACCATCATAAAGCTGTAAAAAACAGACTTCCACCTAATATAACATGGCACGCAGTAACTATAAAATGGCGTTTAAATCTCTTTTAACGGCATTAAATTAGAAACAACATCGAGGCGAACATGTTAGCGAAAGCTCGGTTGTTGTTCGACGAGCCCCACATTCGGTGTCGGAGGACCGATGTCTCCATTCTCGAGGAGGCGCGGACGAGCGCAATAGCGTACCCGTACATCCACCTACAGTGGAGAGGAGGTACTACAATCCGGGGGTTTAGTTTAGCGGTCAGGCCGCTCCCTTTCAGGGCTCTTATGCTGTTATGGTGGCTAGGGAAATTTTAAAGGGCAAAAAATAGAATCCAATAGTTTTGAATCAATATCACTTGTACTTCTTTAACGCACACACATACACTTATACTGCCCTACTAACAAAGAACGCAGTAATCGACAATTTGGCGATTTTGACTTTTTTACAGAAATTGCCTCCTTGGAGCTTAGCAAACATGGAAAAAAATAATTTATAATTTTTTTTTACTGAAAGTGTGTTTTTTTTACTATTAATTTTGCCGTAATTGCATGTAAAAAGCGACTGTGCTAAGCAGAAGTGCCGTAATACTCATGTGCTAGGAAAGAATGCAGTATTTGCAATCAATCCTAAACCTAAAAGCAGTACTTGCTACGATTACTGCGTTTTGATCTAGTATCAATCGATTTCGACCCTAAGTTAAAACGCAGTATTCGACATTACTGCGTCTAGATGTAGCATTGCACGACGGGAGTCGCAAGCGTATCATCCAGTGCTGCGTTTTGTCTTGGCAAAATAAATCAGTGCAGTGACGTCATTCGTCGAGGTAACACGTTTCGACGTGTCGGAGATGCGCTCCGCGATTTTATCAAAACAAGGAAATTTGGGTAAGTAATTTTTACATTTTGCTTATAATATTACTTTTCACAATACGCAATAAGTAACCAGCTTGTTATAACGGAACATTTTTAGTAATTGTAATTACCTCATTAAAATTATGCTTTTCGGACTCAGTAGTACTTAGGTATAATTTTAAATTTTTAACCATTTAATAACACTCTATTTTTGTGTGCTCTGTACACAATGTAACTGTTTGTTGCTTTTAACTAACTAGGTATTTCTCTTACACACACACACACACAATTTAAGTTTCTTATAACAAGTAGGTACCTATCTAACATATTCTAAACGCAGCTCAACACAAACATTTTGCATCCCTTCTTTCATTACTTAGTACTACTACTACCTACTTAATTGGTATTTATAGATTTGTCTTCGTAACGCGAGTCTTATACAGTAGGTATATATACTTAATTGGTATATGTAAACAGAAATTGTGCGAATACATTAAAGGACATCATTTTAATTTATATGCACTTCGGTCCAGGTTTCAATTTTAACTACTAACTTACTGGCAGATTTTAGTTTAGAGGTAGGTTTATTTATTTTCAAAACGGTTAGTACATAAAATTAAAAACTTGGTTTCACGTTTATAGCCCAAAAAGTTTATTTCACGAAAGGGAGGGAACTAAAGTAGAATTCTAAGTATAGTTTGTTTTAATTCCATTTTTCTCTTTAATTTCAGATTATGCACAATGACTTCTAACTTTCACCGAGGCAGAAATATTGTAAATATGGTGCTAGAAAAAACAAGCCATCCTGCAAAAAAAGTCAGTACCTCGGCAAATGATGCAGCTGAAGAGAAGGAAATTCCAGCAGTCGAAAAGGTGTCTGTATGTAATATCCATGATTTTGACAAACTTTGGGCTCATCCTTTTAGTTACGATGACTTCAAGGCCATACAAAACCCTGAAGTTGAATATGCGTCGACATTGCATTTCGGTGACGCAGGCTTAGATAAGACTCTTAATCTTGACGTACTAAAAAGGGCATATGATTTAACTGTAGAAGAGGCTAATAACGAATCATGTTCTATGAGTTTGTTGTGTGACGAAACGCTCCCATCTTCGGTTATGAATTGTACGTTGGTATCTGATGTGACTTTTGAAATATGCGAAGAAAAAATGGACTCAACGGAAAAACCAAAAAATGATACTAACGATGAAGAGCCACTCGATAAGGAATTGGATAGCATAGCGATAGATACACGAACAGGTTCAAATAATACCGACATTCTAGAGGGCCAGCAGAGTACCTCGGATCAGCAAATTACTCCGATTGCAACTACGAGTTCGCAGGGCACAAATATGGTTGAACCAGAAATTCATACTGTCGAGCACACATCCCACATGCCTTGCCAAAACTCTATCGGCACAACAAAATCTGGGAAACCAAGAATGAGACGTAAATTTGAGGAATCTTTAGAAACAAGATTGGAAGAGAAGAAAAGGATGAAGTTGGAGAAAATGGGAGTAAAGCCTGGATGTAACGATACATGCGCAAAGAAATGCACGTCATCTTTTGATGAATCAGAACGCAAAAGAATTAATGAAATATATCAAAGTCTTAGCCATGAAGCTCAAGGTTTATACGTTAAGTCATTGGTTGCAGCCAAAGAAGTAAATAGACGTATTCGGGAAAGCCAGCAGCTGCGTAAGCATACTTACGAATATTTCTTGGATATTTCTGATAAGAAAAAAGAAGTTTGTAAAACTTTCTTTTTGACTACACTCGGATACAACAAGAATAATGACAAACGGGTACTGAATATCTTAAGCAAGCCCCCAGAAGCGCAAAAAGACCAACGAGGTAAACATCATCAATCAAATCACGTGGACAGAGAAAAGTTGAGACAGCATATTGAAACTTATAGACCAGCTGTCGCTCACTATAGACGCGCTCATGCACCAAACAGGAGGTATCTTCCAAGCGACCTAAATGCTGTCTCTATGCACAGCGACT